GTTAATTCATTTGAGGATGTACGACGTGTAATCTCGCTTAATTAATCGTTTCGACTCGACGTGTCTCTCAGCTCCGGTAGTAACAACGTTGAAGTACTTGCGACAAAGGGACGTGTCATAATCTCTGACTTAAGGCTAGCTCGTTCGAGATCTCTCACACAGCTTTTTATTTTTCCCTTTGCCCTTTCTCTCTTTGCATCGTTCCGTCGAGATTAAAAGTCTCGGCTGGACGTAGGCCCTCTCGGTCTCCCTCTCTCTCTCCCTCTCTCTCTCTCTCTCTCTCTCTCTCTCTCTCTCTCTCACACTTTCTCCTCTCTGGCTCACTAGAGCCTTTACTATTGGGGAGGACGCTAAAAGTGAAAGAGGAAATATGAAGAAAAAAAGAAAGAAAGAAAGAGAGAAAGAGACAAGACAAGAGGGTCAGGGTTAATCTGGTGAACGTAATTACAGCGTATTCTCTTCGTAATGGTAAAAGAAAAAAAAAAAGAAAAAAAGAAAGAAAGAAAAAGAAAGAAGTATTTCAAATAAATGGTGACAGTAATATAGTGAAACCTCGATAAAGCTTCCGTCGACTTATCGCTAGCTCGAAGCTGTTATTTTCTCCTCTCGCCCCTCCCCTCTCTCTTTCTCTATATATTTCTTTTATTCTTCTCAAACTCTTCATCGTTATGCCAGAACGAGTTCGCATTGTCTGGAAACTTTACAATAAAGTTCGTTCTATATACATAGTATATTTTCAAATACTGAAATCTTGCACCCACCCTCTTATTTAAACTTAATTATCGACACCTCAAATTCACTCACCTCGAGTAAAAGATCTGAAGTTTAACTCAAACTAGCCTCGTCACATACACATATGCTCATGCGATTAATCAAAATCACTATATATATATATATATATATATATATATATATATATATATATATATATATATATATATATATATTAATAGAAAATCGTTTCTTTACGAATCATTGAATAAGTTAAAGTTATTTTATTCGAACATGAATAAAACAAATTAATTTATTTTACTTATACAGAAAGATCTTTTCTTTGTAATGTTTTTCTTTTCTTTTTCGTTACAAATGTATATGGGTATGAATTATATTATAGATATCATCAAGTAAAAAGGAATTCAATCAAAAATGAAATACGATTTTTTATTTGACGACAATCGAAGGGAGAAGTAACGGGTAGGAGAGAGAAAGCTTTTCCTGTTCGAATAGGACGAACAGAAGGTACGTAACGAGCCAGCCGTTAAGAGAGTATGGAAGAACGAGAGAAGTACTTCCTTTTCCAAGTACGATATTTCAGAGTCTACCGGAAATTGCAACTTCGGACTGCGAAACGACGATTATATACGCTCTCTATAATACATTGACGATTAAATAACAAAACAACGGATACAGATGTAAGAGAAATGAATGAAAAGGTGTTATAGAGTGATTCGAATGAAAATTTCTATCTGAACTATTATCATATTTTTTATTTATTGATTTTTATTTTTTTTTTATAAAAATAATGAAAACTTCTAATGAAAAATAATCGTGTAATTTACGAAACGAAGTATCCTTTAATAGAAATAATTATTATACAATTGTGTTATTTTAATATTTTCAATATTATGCTCTATAATTTTAAACTATTTATATCTAATTAAATTAATTGAATAATTGCTAACACGAGAAATACAATATATATATATACAAATTTTTCAAAAATAATTTATATATATATATATATATATATATATATAATTTTACTTATATAATATATATAATGTACATTTATATATATATATATATATATATATATATATATATATATATATAAATGTACATAATATAATCATTTCTATTTTATATAATAATATAAAAATTATATAATAATTAAAGAAATAATTTTATAATAATTTATATTTTTAAAAATTAAACAAATAAAACAAACAATAAAAAGATATAATAATAATATATATAAAAATAATACTAATAATATATAATCATAAATAAATGCATAATTAAATATATAATTAAAAATATACAATAAATCCTTACACATACACATAGTATCATACACACATCATATTTTATAAATAATAGTGAATGATTATTGAAGGCTAGAAATTTATAAGATTTCGGTGATCGTTTTTTTTTTATATATAAAGTAAGAATTTTAGTCCGACAACGATGAATGTCTGCACCGTGGGAACGTAGCATGAAAGACGTGTGTGGATCGACCTCAGCGATTTATGGACGCGACGCGCTATAAGAACGACGACGATGAGAAAAGAGGAATCAGAAAAGATCGCTAACATCTCTGAAAGGACGGTGTGTCGTTCTGTCGCAGAAGAACGCTAATTTTCTTGTTGCTTTCCTGTCGTCGCTGTTTTCTTTATCATTTTTTTATATACACAAAATGAATTAATCAAAAACTCGAATAATACTGCTTTCATTTCCTGTCAAGGAAGTTTTTAAAAGATAAAGGAGAAAAAGATATAATCAACAAAAAATCCATTTATATTAGAACTATCGATTTATTTTTATTATTTTTATTTTTTTCAACTTTAAATATTTGAGAAAAACACATTCTTCGATATTACCTTTAATAAATTCACGAAATAAACGAATAACTAATATAATAAAAGAAATTAATTATAAATAAACGAAAACAGTTCTCAATCAATATTTCTATAATAATTATAATATCGAGAATATACCTATCGTAAAAGAAATAAAGAAAGTTAATCTAAAATCCATCATTTTTGAACGGGTTTAATAAGTTTAATATTAAATAAATTTAATATCGTTATCGTAATACTTTTCAAGAAATCGTCACAATGGAGATTTTAATTAATTAGCACAAAAATTTAATAACATTTCTATATGACAATACGACATAATAAATAAAAATTGTGCAAGACAATTTACAATGATGCTAGCCATTAATATGAATTATGTATATCTGTCTATTTCATGTATTATACAAAGGTGCTGATTATTGCATAAACAATATATAAACATGTATACACATACAATGTATAATATATATTATATATAAATATATATGTTTATACGATGTACAATTGAATAATAATAACTTTGATGTTACATATAACAACTTTGTTACAATAATAACGAGATTGAATGTCAAACAAATTTTATATAAATCAGATATACACAATAAGATATATATATATACACATATATATATATATACACATATATATATATATATATATATATATATATATATATATATATATATATACACACATATGTATTTACCTAATATCTTTCATAACTTACTTTTTGCGTTAAACTTTTGATTCTAATTAGGAAATATATATTTTATCTTTAAAACGTTATGAGAAGAAAAAAAAAAGAAAATATATATTTATATATAATATATATTATACATTGTATGTATACACATACAATGTATAATATATATTATATATAAATATATATGTTTATACGATGTACAATTGAATAATAATAACTTTGATGTTACATATAACAACTTTGTTACAATAATAACGAGATTGAATGTCAAACAAATTTTATATAAATCAGATATACACAATAAGATATATATATATATACACATATATATATATATATACACATATATATATATATATATATGTATATATATATATATATATATATATATATATATATACACACATATGTATTTACCTAATATCTTTCATAACTTACTTTTTGCGTTAAACTTTTGATTCTAATTAGGAAATATATATTTTATCTTTAAAACGTTATGAGAAGAAAAAAAAAAGAAAACAAACAAAAATTAAATCTTGAAAATATTTTAAATAAAATCTATAAAATATTGAATGCATGTGACCTTCATGACTTTCAATGATGTTAACTTTAAACAATGCATACAATTTACATGTATTGTACTTTGTTTTTCTCTTTTTTCTTTATCTTCTCGAGTCGTGATGGAAGAAGATTTTCGATCGTGTTGAAACGAAAAGAAGAATCGTTTGGGAAAGTTATAATATATGTATATCTAAGAAAGAAGAGAAGTAGAAAGTTCGTGCTTTACGATGGCATGGCCATCGAGATAAGTAGTCGCCAAATACCGGCACGTACATCGCCATTCGCTGGCACGCATAAACGTCAGCGAGCAAATTGACTTACCAGCTAAACACACGGCTTTTTGTTTCCCGCCGGCAATGCGCGAAGAGGCATACTGTGAAACGAAGAGGAAGGAAGGGTGAGATAGAAAGGATGAAAGAGATAAAACATAGAGCATTTGCCGTATGATGTAAAGATAACAAACTTGAACTTTTTAACGTTTCCCTCCCTGTTTATTTGCTTTTATCCTACGAGCACTCGACATCGTATTAGTTTATACCTCGTAAAATAGTTACGACCTCCTCCAACCTAACCGAGTCAAACGATTGTTTTCATCTAATCGATATTATCTTCAAAGGAAAGTTTCTTTACTTTTTATTACGGATAATTTTTATATACGGAGGTCTGTACAATGGTACTAAATGGTATTAAAGTTATTTTATTGCAATAACTTTGTTCAGAATTATATTTGCATGAATATTATTTTAAAAATTGAAGGAAATTGGTATATATACAGATGGCATAAAAATAGGATTATAGGTTTCATAATAAAAAGATAATAGTAATCCTTTGTAATCTCGTGGCACCTTATAGTCTGACTTTCTATTATATAGATCTTATTTTATTATTTATAAAAATATGACAGTTTATATACCGAAAATTAATTTTTGCTAAATGTGCATAAGTTATAATTAATATCAGTTTAATATCTAATTTTTATTTTATTTTAGTTCATATATCGAAAATTTTAATATTTGTCAAATATAGATATATAATTAAACTTAATGTATTACAATTATATTTATACATACAATATAATTTCATACTTTTTATACAATATAACTCGACAAAAAGAATTAAGTTGTACATGGTTAATATAATACTCATTATATTTTCAGAAGCGATATGGAGGACGGATTTGGATTGGATGGTAATTCACCGAGATCGTCTGGTGGTGCTTAGTTTCATGAATCCAGCTGGTAACCTGAGTACCTTAACCGGTTTCATAACCCCACAACCTTTTGTAACCGCTGCGCCAGAAGAGGAAGTTGAGGATGACCTTAATGGAGTCGTACCAACAACAACAGGCTTGTCTCGTGTTAACGAAACAATCGAAACTCGAACGGAAGAAACTTCTACAAAATTTTCCACTATAAATCGACCAGTACTGACTAATCCAAATGTCCATCGAACCATCGTAAATTCTACGACAACTATTTTGTTCAGTAATAATACTACAACAAGTAAAACAACTTCAAGAATACCAGAAACAACCAGCAGTACAACCACGACAACACCAACCATGAGTTCGTCTAATTCTGCAACAAAATATCCAACGACTCTTAAGAGATCAACTATCAGACCAATTTTGAAAAACAATAATCTAAAGAACAGGTCTAAGGTTAAAAATTTAACGAAAACATTGACAACAGTAAGACCATCCAAAACTACTCAGACTACGTCTGGTGGAAATATGACCGCTCAAAGCATGTCATTGGTTATGAACAGCTTGGCTGATCTGGATCATCCTGAAAATTTGAATCTGGAGCTTCAACCGAGTAAGTTTTCGATGATGGAGTGAGTGAGGTAGAGGTCGATAAAAATTTTTTATTTCTTTCTACATTCTTCTCAGGTTCTTAAAGCAGAAAAAATAACAACATTTTCATTCTTTTTCTATTTTTCTTTTTTTTCTTTCTAGCTGAATCCTACGGACCAATAACACTGGAATATCTTAATTACGCTGTTGCTCTTGGCGTTTACTCTGTACGATATCCCGCAGTGTTCTGGTCTTGCAACAAAGCTCTCGGTACGATTTTCAGTGTTCAACTGGTCATTAATTCCGCTCAGAGCTTATTGGCTTACGCCGGCATGTCCGTTTTGTACAAGGTAAGCGTATAACAAATATTTGAGGTTCGGCGATCGAACGAAATATCGGAAAATCTCTATTTCGAGAGATATTGAATGCGATGTAAATGGATTGACAAAGAGTCTTAACTGCAACTATTGGAATTTTATTTGACTGGTTACAGAATTTAAATGTATGTACCTTTTGCATAGGTAATGTTTCTTATATATATATATTTGTTTTAAATATTTTTTAGGTTCAAGTTGTCGGACCTCTTAAAGTTCTACCTCTTCTTCGACATCGAACTGTAGCCACAGCAAGTACGATATCAACAATCTTCGGTGATTCATATTTTCTTCTTAATCCTCACGTTACGTTAGCTCTTTTTGCCCTTTCGTCTCTCCTCGTACTGTGTTCGAGCATGGTCATGTATTTCTACGCACACGGCAGGTAAGAGATAAACTGTTGCTTGTCAGATAAAAACGCTTTTGTTGTTTTTTCTTTTTTTTTTTTTTTTTGTACAATTTCAATCGTTTTATTCTTAAAATGTATATCCGATATCGAGTGACTGATATCAGTGTAAACTAAACTGTTCCTGAATCACTTTTATTGCTCGATATATAAATCTATCAATTGATTGCCTTTTATCGCCAATAGAAAAAAAATATACTCTCTCGTATCATCTGAAAATTATTATTAATTGCTATTGGTATTCAAAATTCTGTGTTTAAAAATTATTAGTAAAAGATAGAAAATAAAAATGAGAAAATATTCATTAGTGATCATTAAAGAGGCTTTTATTTTTATAAAAAATCTCACGTGTATCGAAATATTAAAATCTAATCGATCTGATAGATTCGCAGCATTCCTGAATCAGGAACGCGAACGTCGCGTGATCTTGCCGAAGGACGGCCGAGAAAGCAGCGCCTGGGTCTACTTCACTCATTGCACCGCCCTCTGCGTGTTCCTCGCGATTGCAATCTGTAGTGCACCATTGCTCTACGACTACACAGTGGTCTATAGAGGCAGTCTAGACGGTGCGATCCTCGCCTGTATCGTTGGTACCGTGCTACATTTGTTACTCTGGCTTATTCTATGGGTCTTCCTGACTATAAAACAACGTTGGACTTTCAAGTTACGTGTCACGATCGGTCGTGCTACCGTTCGTTCAGCTAGATCTGTCAAACTAGTGACCGATGTCGATTTATTGTCTGCTAGAGAGGAAGAAGATAGTACAAGCGCTCCATTACTTGTTGTTGGTAATGGTAGGACATATACGATCGCAGATACATCTCCAAAGAAAGCTATCATGAGTGTTATTCAAAAGGCAGCTATGGAAAGGAAGGCACGTTCACAAGGTAAAGCATTTAAAGATAATTTAATCGCTCTAACTACTACAAGCTAAAGAAAGAATTTTTTTTAATGTGGTTTATTGAATAATATATTTACGCCGCAGGTGGAAATGTTGATTATGCTGATGGAGAATCGACAGCCGATGGCGACGAACAAATCTATTGGCTCAGGCCAAAATTACGGCCGTCACCTGCTCAATCCCCTAACGACACTACTGGCACTCAGGCTAACGACAAGGGTTGGCTCAACAAGAAGCTCAAGCCCAAGGTCACCTTTAACGACCTGCCTAGTACGTCAGGCTCGCGGTAACTACCCTCCTCCCTCCTCTTGGTGTCTTTGTGGCTACGCCTGAGCTTACGGCTCTAATTGCTCGTCGCCTGTCCAATCTTATCGATGTCACGTTCAATGTAAAGTCCGCGAGAATGCGCTTATCCCTCTAATATGAGCAATACCCGTTATAGCTATTAATTGCTCACCGTTTGGCTTACGTTATGTTTATCGTAGCACGTTCAAATATAAATAAGTAGAATTTTTGTTCAAAAATTCATTAATTTGAAATTGAATTTTCGTCAATACAAAATCATTATCAATTTTTCAAGGTAATTTTATTTGAATGGAATTATTGAAATTGTATATCCCATTGTTTAAGATCACAATCAAACTCTTGCATCTCATAAATGTGTTCACCTCCTCCAGTTACAAGGAATTGAATTGAAACTCTTCACAGTTTCTCGGTAATCACGTCTGGTGCAATTCACTCACTTGTTCTCTCTATCTCCCTAGTGCAAGCAATTCGTAGAGGTACGTGCGTATTGATTCGTCCTCAACACGTACGTACACGCATTCCGAAACTACGGAATCCCAAATTGGATACGTCCTACCCCCACTTCATCCTTTGTCTTCTACAAGCACGAATTCTCCTCTTGCCCATATCTCGGTATTAGAGAGCGACTCGCAAAGCTTTAATTGTTATTGCCTTATGTCGAGTTAACTTGGACTTCTCTACATTGGAAACTCTAAAACGCAAACTACATTTCGCGATTCGAAGTTGAATCGTTCTGATCGAGTTTATTGCATCGATCTTCCTTGACTTCCTCTTTCACTCTGCTATTTAATTAAATTTTTACATGCTTTGCGATTTCTTGACAATTTTTTCTGATCTATGTTAACAAAATAAATTTTGAAAGAAAAGCGTACCAAACTAATCGATACATCATTATTCTTGTTGATCCAGTAATAAGGGAAAAGCCAGACGAGGCGTCGCTGACGGGGGACCTGAGGATGACGGGGATTACGCCACGTTACGCGAGCTACCGCTGATAACTTCTTTGGATCCAGCGGACGATTCGAATTCCGAAGAAAACAAGGTAAATGAAAACCGTATGTTTTCTCATAATTAATACTTTATTTTTAAAAGGCATATAATTATTGTAAACAACAGGAACATATATAACTGCATATATACATAATATTGTGTATATAAATAACGAGGATTTATTGTCTGATTGTGAATGTTAAATATCTTTTTATTTTTCTTTTTAGTTACAACACTGTTCCATTCCAATATCCTTCCTTTTTAATTAAAATGAGTGGGTTGCAAAAGAATAAAGAATAATGAAAACAAAAAATCGTTTCGTCACTTTTAATTTAGAGTTTTCTTTTTTTTTGCTTTTGACAGTGGGAGAGATGGCTGATGCCACGTAGGAACGGTATACCTAAATTCGGAGACGTAAGGCACACACATGTATTTTTTATTCGTGCTTCGAAGTAACAACTAATTGAGTGTGTGTCTTTGATCGTATGTTCATCTAACATCTAATGTTCATGCCCTAATTATTAGAAGACGGAGTATTTGTTGTAATATAGCATAGAATTAGACAAATGAGATATAGTTATGTGAAATTAGAAACTAATATAACCCATAGACTCTGTTATGTGTCTTTATGAATACCATGTCCAACTAGTAAACAAATTAACTAGTAAATATACATATTGTAATTAAATAACTTCTTATGAGTCACAGTATCCAATTCGGAGTAATTAATTGAAGAAAAATCACTTAATTAAGAGATTTAGATTAGATATATTATTTATAGAATAAAAATTACGCTTCCTTCCAAACTTTTTATGCAATCGTTTTTTTATCGCTTTTTATTCCAATAATAATCACGTCTACTAACGATAATACGAATTTTAACAGCTGCTCGAGTGCGTGAACGATGACCAAGTGACGTACTACGCGAGCGCTAATCGCGATCTGCAACCCTCGGAGGGTGATCCCTCACCCCTCTTAACTCCAGATCCTCTTCCCGATCCTGCTTCAGAACCACTTCCGTTGCCACCTCCGACTCCAACTACTGCACCGACCACCGAAGTTGCCACGGCGCTACTAACCACTAACTCCCAGGTACTAACAACTCACAATCTCTAACCCAGCACTGTCAACACCTAAACAATAAGATTGTCACTGTATAAGATAGATAAGATTTCTTTCTTTCTTCTCTTATTTTTTTCTCTCTTTTTTCTTTCAAATGATGACATACTTATTTCGATAGATTAGAATAGTAGTTGAATTATGTGAATAGATTTACAGTGACGATTCAATATTTCATTATCGAGAATATTCTTCGTTAATCTTAATGTTATAAGATAGAGCAAGTTTGTTGAAAAAAAAAAGAAGAAAGTAATTATTCGCGTAAAAATGCATGAAACGAGGTAAGCTTTTTAAAGAACCTGTGCTCCAAATCATGTACGTTGTCATTGTCTTTTGATCATACATAATACGTATATTTCATATTTTTATATTCATTTATTTAAATATCTGTTGTTTGATTTTATCTAATTTCGAATTATTTCAGATGAACGGTGGTCAAACACCACGTTGCCTACGCCGAGCGGATTCCGGTATGCCACACGACGAGTTGACACCACGTTCCGATTCTTCCAATTCTCCGCCACTGGACGCCGGTGGTACCAGTTCGGTAATAGGCCACAGTAATACCAGTAGCAACAGCGAAACATCGTCAAGTGGCGTACATAGTAATGCAAGTAACGCCAGCAATGCCAGCCAAAGTAGCTCATCTCAACGACGAGCAACAAGCGTGGACGATTTAACTGGTGAAACACGCGAAGAACCACGAGAACAATGGCGGAGCTGCTCGCTTCAGCGTGGAACACAACCACCGACAGCAAATACAACTTTTTCTCCACCAAACAGTCGACCAGGCACCAGCCAATCGTTCTCCTCTCCACAATATGCAAATCACGTACCTCTGTTCAACAATACTGGCAACAACGAACTAACCGGTGGCTGTCCAGCCGTCATTCTCGAAAATCCAAACGAAGCAACGGTTGTAATACGTCGAAAATTGTCGAGAACGAAACTGACAGAACCATTGAATCCAAACGAAGAACCATTTGGTCGATCTACCAACATGAGGATGACTTCATTTACGGAAAGCAATGATATTCGTATTCAGGCTTCCTCGGCTACCCTACCCCATTATCCAACACAACCTATTGTCACGTATCCACACTGTTCCACCATGCCCTTGCCTCATGCGTCGCATAGCATGGCTGGCACGAATATGAGTGGGTCCACTGGCAGCTGTGGATCCGTGCCAAGGCATACATTTGTACCGCCACAGATACACGCAACTGTACCAGCTCATACGACGTTACCGTCGCATCACAACGGTGTCAGGTTGATACACGGTGGTCCTGGTAATCCTTTCGTCAAGAGATTCCCACCCGTTCAGCTTCACACTCAGCCTTGGGCTCTGCCAGGTCATCATACCTTCCCACAAGCACCACAAAACAACAACAAGCTGTCGGTTACCGCTCAGATAAGACAACAGAGCGATCGAGACTCGGCTAATTTCTCTATGGCAAGTAGCGGAGACTCGGATACCTGTTTGCCACATTAAATATGTGACAAATCCTTTCGCTAGAATATTATTTCTAGAAGAGCTGTGGTGCAATTTCGTCGTGTTGCTGCTAACACAGCGACGACCCCTATGGATCTATATTTTAATATGATCCCACGAAAATGGACTCGAAGTTATGAAACGCTTCGCGTAGAACGCAGTAGGAAAGCATCGACAGTACTTCTTGTAGACCCAAGGTCGGAGAGGTACCGGTGCGAGAAAATAATAGTCTTCACATACTTTCGAGAACAATTGGATAACTTTTCAGGATGACCACTTTCTGTTCGATCAACGTTCATTTAATCTCGTAAACGTATTAGCAAATTTAATCGTCGTCATAGATAAAAACGCTTGCGAGGATATCTTTGAAACTCTTGTATTTTCAGACTCAATCTTTTAAATTCATAATACAATAACATATCATGTCAACATCTGCCACTCGCAGAAACTCTTCTGAAATTCCTCAAAATTCTACAGAATTTTGATATCTTACGTGACGGCGATCACGAAGTTCTAATGATAATAATAATAATAATAAATAATAATAATAATAATAATAATAATAATAATAATATTAATAATAGTAATAATAATATTAAGGGAAAGGGAGGGAGCATAATAGAGGAAATATAACTGTTCTCTCGTGGACATATCCCGTGTTTGTGATCACAATTAATGTAATACTATTTAATTGCAATAAAAATATCAATATTAATTACGATCTCAAGAATTACAGATGGAGGTTGATCGAACGGTCATCGTGATGTTAAAACGAAGTTATCGTGAAAGGTTTTTCCATTCGCTCGAGTTCCATTCGCTAAGATATATTTATAATTTAATAAGAAATCTCTTGCGTTTTGATTATTCTTACGGGAAAGTGTTCGATGTATAAAGGGAGTTACGTGCCACGTTTAATGTTGGAGAGATTATTAAGAAGGAACGGGAAAGAGATCAAGCATAATTATACGGTGTTATAATAATGATGGAAAAAGAAAGAAAAAAAACACGCACGTACATACATATACTCACATAGATACACACAGACACAAACACAAGAATTAATCGTATCGCTTTAAATAAGGTTCGTGCGCGTGTATAGAATGGATTAAGTATAATAATAATTAAAGGGGCGATCTTTTTGGAAACGTTCACGCGCGTCATCCGTGTAAGCATGTAAAATCTTTTTACCGTTAATTAAAATCCATTTTTACCGATAATTAATAATTGTAAATTTTGTTAATGCGTCAATACTATGTACATTATACCGAAGGTAACTTGTTTTCTTATTTCATTTTTTTTCTTTCGGTTTTATTTTTATTTATTTTTTTTTTTGTTCTTTTGCTTTTCGGATCATTATGAATTTTCGGTGAGTGATCGAAAGGGAGATTAACTCGATGAACTCTTTGTTTTATTTCTCTCTTTTTTCTTTTCTTTTCTTTTTCTTTTGCGATCTTCATTTTTATTCTCTTTCAAATAATGCCGTGTGTTGTCACGAGACAAACTCCCTTTCGTTCGAACGAATCTTTTATTCCTATACGTATATACAAACGCGACTAGATAATTGTTAAGATAAAAATGCTTTTCTATGATTGAATCGTATTAATGCTTTATATATATTGCCTATATTTAAGGATTAAGAATGAACGATTTTAATGATTTGTCGTGAAAGAGATATCATACATTGTCGAATGTACCAACGCAATTTATGTAATTGCTTTCTTTGTGGATATAAAAGAAAATTATTATCCGCAAAGTTGTATACGTACTTACGACGATCCATGAGCAGAGTTTCTAAATGAATCACCGAAAGATCGAACGGGATAATGGACATTAGTAATAGTTATCCTATGTAGAAAATAATGATCGTGTGTTGCGCATATGCCGAGTCTTGCGTAACACGTTGTTAATTATTTTTAATGATCAATTGTGTATTAATAGAATAATTCATCAATTGTGTATTAATTATGTTGTGATAATTTACTTAATATTACGAGCAACAATTTTCTCGTGCACTCTCTCTATTGAAAGAAAAAAAAAAGAAAAATAGAAAAAGCAAGAAGAAAAAAAAATTGTAAAGTGTGTTACTCAAGATCGGCGTATACGATTTTTATTAATTAATGGCTAGGGGAACGATAACTGCCACTTATCGTGAGAATTAATCTCCGTTTGTATTTACTTATTTTATCAACTGCCATGCTATTTCGTCCTTTTCACAGATATAAAAACAAAAAAAAAGACAAAAAAACGATATCTAACGTATGTTAATTACCCGATGGTAACCACTTGTATTTAACTCGTTAAAAGAAAGAAATAGAAAGAAAGAAAGAAAAAAGAAAAAAAAGATAAAGAAAAATACTAATGCTGAGATGTATCCACTCGCATGAATTATCGTTCGCTAATTTGCGTTCTTTCGCGATTATATAATCGCTTTTATAGTCACGCGATCAAAAAGTATACAACTGATTCTGGAGAAGTAGATCATGCCATAAGAGAAAATGGCCGAGTAATGTGAAAATGAGAAACCCGACGAAGTACTAGATATTTGGAAAGAAAGAAGAAAGAAACATCGTACTCCTTGACGTTATCGTTGTAAAGATCAAATAGATCTTAGAAAGAATAAATAGAAGAAGAGCGATACGTATCGAATTATAAAATGAACTGCTTGTTTTATAGTAAAAACTGTGTTAAAATTTAAAAAACAAAAATACGTTGGATTACTTATATATTAATATTTTTGGTTGATCCTGAAATATTGACATATTTGATATGAAATATTATATATAAATAAAAATTAACATGATTTGATTGATTGATACAAAAAAACACGCATTTATCAATAGTTGTATCGATCAGATAATGATCAAATACACATTGGCCACATTTGTATTATATTTAATTAAAAAAGAAAAAAGGATCTTTTGTGTTTTTATCATGTTAAATTAAACACGTTTATTATGTTACATGCAGTTCATTGAAGAATACGTTACAAAAAATCCAAAAGTCCTATTATATGAACAATGGCACGATAACCCGATAATACCAGATTCAACTATTTTTTCAGATCAAAGTTTAATGAAAAGATATTATTCACTTTTTCGATGAGAACGAAAATATTTTTATGAAGCACATGCACCGAATATTTATAATCGACTATAAGGCATTAGCGAGGATAAAATTTAAAAGGATTATTTTAAAAAAATGTAGAAACTAACACGAAAAGCAACAGCTATACTAAAGATTAAATTGTGTGCGATTCTATCAGAGTTAGATTTTGTCTCTCTAGAATGCAGAAACGATGAGATTTTTAGAATATACATTATATTTTGCTTTGCGGCTAGTAAGAGAATTTTCATAAACCAAAGAACTTTTCTTGGACACATCAATGCTATGCTACTTTATGATGATTGAACAAAAAATAAAAAAATAATAGATCGATTTAATACTAGAGAAGGAAGGGGAAAAGAAAAAGTAAAAAAAAAAAAAATAAATATAAAAAATAAAGAAACGAGAACTGACGACATGCATATGGAAATGCTTCTTTGATACAAAATCATTTTCTTTGTATCGATTTAGCACGTATTCGTTGTTTGTAAAAATCGAAAGGCGATACTTTTATGACCAATGAATTTAATTAATCACGAGCGTCGGTTCATCAAACGCACACATTTTTTACGAAACTTTCAATAAAACGTCGCTTCGCCATGTCGATTGTACATATCATCATCTGCAAGGACCATGCAATTCACTTTTCTCGGGAATCTTCGGCAATATTTAGAAGTATTGATCAAGAAAAGGACACATCGTTTCATCTGCGAAAATCTTTTATCATTATCATCGTTTTCGAACATGTCATAGAAAGAGAAAAAGAGGGAAAAAAAGAGGAAGAGAAAAGAGATATAATTAACATATTCTTCTAGATTTCTCACGAGACCGATTTTGTAACTTCCCTTCTTATCCGAGTGATAGAATTTCAATCTATAGGAAATTGTTATCAACGAATTTCTCCGTGTACGGTGAGCTGTTTGACAGTGTGTATTCGTTGAAGGATTCTTCTTCGATTATGAGAATTCATATAAATTTCTTAAACGGAGGTAAGGAAGAAGATTTTTCAATTCTCCAAAGAATCGCTTTCAACGAGTGCAACGAGACAAACGTGCGGACGTCCGTTTCTTTCAGTGTTAGAAAACAAGATATAGCAATTTTGTAAAAGCGAATTTACTTCCTTTGTGTGTTGCGAGTCGTGTCGCTGCGACGAACGAAACTATATTTTATTCTTTTTTTTTTTTTTTTTTTTTCTTTTTTTTTTTTTTTTCTTTTTTTTGAAATCAATGAGACGTTCAAATAAAATAGAGAAAAGAAAAATCTATCTTTTGATAACTGCAATTGCACGTTGAACAAAAAAGAAAAGAAAAGAAAAGAAAATAATAATAATAATAATAATAATAATAATAATAATAATAGTAATAATAATAATAATAATAATAATAATAATAATAATAATAATAATAATAATAATAATAATAATAATAAATAGAAGGAACAAAATGACGAGATAATCGCAGCGACGCGAATCATTATCGTAATCTTCGAAATCCACAAAAGAATAGAGAAAGAAAAAGAAAAGAAGAGTAGAGAGCCAACGTGCCGTTAGCGGCACGACTCTCCTAGAATTATTTTTTTACCACATTTAGCGTCGTCAGTGTCAGCGATCATAAATTTTTCCTTGTCTCCTTCTTAGATAACTGACTAGAGAAAACCTAGACAACGATAGACATTGTCCAAAAGGATGGCTCCGAACTCCGATTGTAAAATCCGATCAAATGACGAAACAAAAAATGATAATTTCACATTCTCATACGAGAAGAAAATAATATGAATGTGTTTATATATATAATGTTCGAAAAAGAAGAAAGTCCATTCTTAATCGGCCAAGTTCTTTAATCACACAGATCCTAGACTTGAAGAAGTAACGTCGAGAAGGACCGTTCTGGGCCCTCCGAGTATCGCGTTTTTTAAGAGCGAAGATATAACCGCGAGAGAGTTAAACAACAACAATATATACATACGTACATACATACATATATACATACATACATAAATACATCCATACATACGTCGTTCGCGAGCAACCCATTTCAAATACTGTAAATAGTTCGTGATTGAGTCGAATGGATGAAAAGAGAGCAAGAGAGAGAGAGAGAGAGAGAGAGAGAGAGAGAGAGAGAGAGAGAGAGAGAGAGAGAGAGAGAAAATAAGAGTGCAAGAGAGAGAGAGAGAGAGAAAGAGAGAGAGAGAGGGAAAACGAATGTGTACGAATAATTGTATAAAGACTGATTAGACTAGCTTTGGTATTTATTCAAATTTACAATTAATGCTATCGCTTGCGCGCTCAGAATACTCATGGAACACACGATGCCAAAGGTATTCCTTCTACGAATTTCTTTAAATATCCTTCGTTTAGCTAGGAGCATCGTTGTCCATTGTACGAGCCGATAATCGATCATCTACTTGCTCTTGATATTCGTAACTTCGAAAAGAAAAATAAAATAGGAAAAGAAAAATAAAATAGGAAAAGAAAAATAAAAAAAGGAAATAAGAAGAAATAAGAAACCTACTACGATTATCATTCAAACTTATGTCGTATGCTGATTCTATTCGTATTCTCACGAAGATTTAGGCCTATATATATATATATATATATATATATATATATATATATATATATATATATATATAGTTATCTAAATTTATATATATATTTTATATCATCTTCAGTTGCATCGTTCACGCGATCTGTCTCTTTCGACTAACATAATTATTGTTACCCTTATTATTATTATTATTATTATTATTATTATTATTATTATTATTATTATTAGTATTATTATTATTATTATTATTATTATTATTATTATTATTATTATTATTATTATTATTATTATTATTATTATTATTATTATTATTATTATTATTATTATTATTATTATTATTATTATTATTATTATTATTATTATTATTATTATTATTATTATTATTATTATTATTATTATTATTATTATTATTATTATTATTATTATTATTATTATTATTATTATTATTATTATTATTATTATTATTATTATTTTTATTCTTATTCTTTATTCTTTATTCTTTATTCTTTATTCTTATTACAATTGTTATGCTTTCATTACAACCTCTTTAACGAATCGAACGAAATTCAATGAAATGAGAATGAAGGCTGATGCAACAAAGCAATTCGATGATATACGATGATAAATAAGTTTAGGAATTCTGAACTGGTTCGCTAGTTGATTCCGTGGATTAATGATAAATCGTTGATAAGATCTCTAACGTGTTCCGATCATTCCAATCGTACTAAGGACGACAATGAGTATGTATAAGAATTGTTGTTGTGTAAAGACGAAAGAGGAACTGAGCGGAGGAAAAAAGGAAAGAAAAAAAAGAACGAAGAAACGAGATAAAGCGCAATTATAACGGCGACATTATTATTGTCACAATGTATGAATATTATTCAAGTGCATCGTATAAACCATTAAACTAAATGTAAACTTTGTATATTCATTTACAAAGAGAATAAAGATAAATTATTCGACGGATCGCCGGTGACTCTTAAGTTATAATATAGTTATAATATAATAATTAATAACGTATCTCAGTTATATAATTCAGATCACAATATTTATTGCAATCTCGGTCGCTAATTGCAATGATCGTTTAACGATAATTGCACGTATCACAAAAATTTTTATCCTCGTCGAACAATATAATCTGACGTCCCATATAATAATTTGTCAAGATTTTTCAGAGATTTTCCATTAACATACGAGCTTTTTTAAGTTCTGAAATAATGATTATCTTTTATTAAGAAATATTGATGTCAATTAAATAAGTTAATATAATTGGTTATAATTCTTAGCCTAAGAATTACCCGTGATTAAAATCTGCACGTCGTCCTTGGAAATATTAATGGTTGATTCCTCCTCATTACCATCAACTTTTTTCACTTTCAAGCTGACCGCCGAGAATGGCGAAGAATCATCGCAGGATACAACTTTAATGGACGAAAGACGATTCACTGGAAATAAGTTCCAACGTTATTATTATTTCCATCTTGTTTATTAATTTTTTATTCGGATTGGCCACTTAGATATGCGTCGCATATTATTTCTTTGTTTAGTTCATTTAGAGAAAAAAAAAAAAACAAAAAAATCTTACCTCTTAAAGACTGAGACGAGAGGGTAGCCATGAGTTGTGGACAATAATCTGTATGAATTCTTGCAACGGCTGTACTGTGTTCTCTTGGAAGTCCCAATTGTTGCAATTCGCTGCTCAGATCAGCCGCAGACACGCCGTAACGAGCTGATGAAGTGAAGATCAATTCCAATGCAGCAATCATAGCTTTCGCATCGCTTAAATCTGTGTAGAAAAGAAAGGAAACACTTTATTGGTTTCTCTCTGCAATGCTCACTTCTCATTTTAGAGGTTAACGACGTGCTTATTTGTTATTCGATAGTAAATGGTTGTTCTTCTTAATTTTTTTTTTTTTAATAATTCTCAATATTTTAAATCACAAGAAAAAACAAAATACAACTTACCAAGTTTTGCATCCTGTGTGATCTTTTTTACTTTTTCCTCCTGTAATCGAAGAGAGAGAAAAGTAAATGTTTAATGTTAAATCATAATTTGGTAAAACATATGATTAATTAAAATTAAATAACAAAAAGTAATGTTTTTATTATGATATATCCTACTTACGTCTAATTCTCCTTCTGTCAAAGACTTCATAACGATTTGCCCCAACGTTTTCATTTTAATCGATGTCTATAACAACATGAAGTATTATATTATTAAAAAATAAAAGTTTGTTAATGTTCTATTTAAACAATTCAACGAACCATTCTCGAGAGCGTATTAATTTCAGCTAATAACCAATCGGGACAATCCCCATCGCCCAAAAATCGAAATTTCTGCAAATCAATAATTATTAGCAACGAATTAATTTATCTATTTTTGTCGCGTTTATCGTAAAAACATATTTAAAAAATCTTACCATTTTGATTTAATTAATTAGAATGATCTCATTCAACTCGTTTCGTCAACTGAAACAAAAAAAAAATAAAAAAGAAACATAACATTTTTATTTTTGACATTATGTTTTAAAATTTTTACGCTCGAAATTAAACATTAAAGATAATATTTAATTTCAAGTGAGTTAAAACGTCGAGCTAAATTATGTGTGTTTTAGATTATTTCGAATTATACGTGAAAATAATTCTGTTTTTCATCATACCAGCCAAATGTTTCGTACGAAGTTAAATCCAGTTAATAGTCGTGAATGAAACGAATCAAGAATATTCTCGAATAATCCGAACGATTCGAATTAAACGATCCATACCATATTAGGATTTTTAATTACTAATATCCTAGGCATATTATTTATGTTAATACAAATAATCTTTGAAATCTGTTCGGACATGTTTGTTCACGTTACATAGAAAAGAAGAACAAAAAAAGAAAAACTGTCAAAGAATATAAAAATTAGATAGAAAAGGAAAACAAAAAAAAATAAAGAACTGTCGGAGAATATAAAAATGTCAGTGATAAAACATTTAGTCGAAAAGATCGATAATAATTCAGGAAAAAGGTAACGAGTTTACACCGTAGCACTTTGTTGAATTTTCTCTTTATAATCGTATTACTTACTAAAAACGAAGAAAATAATTAAAAAAAAGAGAGAAAAATAATAAGAAGAAAAAAAGAAAATAAAAAAAAAAGAAAGAGAGGATGAATGAGAAAGAAAAACAAGCTAAATACAAATCAAAGAAAGATAAAAAAGTTACTGGCAATTTATATTAAAAAACAATTATTTTTATATCGTCAGCTTCGTCACAATTTTTTTTTATTTGTTTTTGTATTTTTTGTTGTTTTCCAATTTTTCCATTTTTTTGTTTATTTTTATCATGACAACAGTGTTTATTATAATTCCGACGATCATTTCATAACTGTGTTAATGCGTTAAAGAAGTTTTATTTCAATAATAAAAATTTCTATACTTTCTGTCAGTAAAATTACCAATAATATCCCGAGAGTGAGAAAAATGACAAACGGGTGTATATATCACAGATGTATATAGAGTGTTTCAGTAAAACTTTACAAATTTTTTTTCTTCTCATTTTCAATAACTATTGCATATATTCTCTTTTTTTTTATATAAATCATTTAAGATATATAAGAATACATACTTTTATATATTCGTATGATGCATATGGCAGATATACAAGATGAGTCAAACATTTGTATCGACAATAATATGGCTTTTTATTTTAGAAAAATATCTTTTTTCTTTTCTTTTCTTTTCTTTTCTTTTCTACAAAATCTAGATATTTATTCCGTCTTAACCCTTTAAATCTATCATCAATGAAATTTCATCCCAAGAAGGTGATTAAGACACGGAATCAAATGCGTTGGATGTGATCAATTTATCGAAATCATCATGATTTTATTTGCAATCATTGTGAAATATAAATAAATTTTCATTCAATACTAAATTAAAACAAAAATCTTTCAAAAGAATTTCTTTTTCTTATTAATTTTTAGAAATAAAAAACGATATACCGCGATAAAATTTCATCAACGATACCATTGATGTCATTTTTGTATGATAAATTTTTTTTATATACAGATTACAATGAATCCCCTTTAACTTCATCGAAGGAAACAAGCAATATAAGCAGACAATAATAAAATAATCATTGATTGAATCACCCTGTATAGAAACACGTATTTCCCTTACGACAAACCTACACATAAAGGAGTCAATCCTTGGCAGTTGGACCGAACAACGCACAACGAATGTTTGCACTTGCTGACCAGAAGATTGACGTGGGTTTCGCTGCGAAATAGAAAAGAATTCCCAATGCAATCCGCCAAATCTTCGAACCGCGACGTCCGTCATCGACGAACCAAGGTAAAAAGAAAAAATGGAGAGAGCATAAATACGGTTGAAATAATGCCGGTCTTGGCATTCTCTTCGAGGAGGCCAACGTGTTCTAGTCGTATCGCGGTAACCATATCGGACAAAACAAAAAGAGAAGCAGAAGAAGGAAAAAGAAGAAGATAGAAAGAAATCAAGAAAAAAATTCAGGAGCAACAGGTAAGAAAAAAAGAAAGAATAAGAGTGAGAGAGATAGTCTCGCTCGATCGAAGCTTGACTCATTTCACTTACGTGGCTGATCGAGCACGAAGTCGTTCCACTTAAACCGAGTCTGACTTATCGCCAATATGTATCACTTAGCCTACAAGATTCTCTTTACTTTATCAACAAGAATGACTAGTAGTACATCGAGTAATATATCGCGAGAAACGCCCTGATGACGTTATCAGGCTACTTTGAACTTATTTAGAAATTACAAGATAAATAAAAAACAAGTATATAATACTATATTCGAAGTCGTCATCTTTTTTAGATTTTAATACCGACGCAAAATCATCAAGCTTTCGTTAACTATTCGAAGTTATGGGGGAGGGGTAGAGAAAAAAAGGAAAGAAAAAAAAGAAAATTTGTCTTTTCACTCTATTATTGCGTAGAAACCTGAATGAAAAACACCTGTGCCACTAAACTTGTTTGCGCTTTGTCTCTTAACCGCAAACACGTTGTAGTTCTCGCGACGTATTACCAGCCAAGAACGATGTGTGCGTATCTAAAATTAGAAGAAGAGAGAGAGAGAGAGAGTGAAAAATAGTGAGAGAAAAAACGAAGTTCAATTTTTTATTGTGCTATTTGACGAAATCGCATTCAATCGATTTAAAAAAAAGAAAAATGATCGTTTTCAGATATGGAAAAAGCTATGGTTGTTGTGATAATATTGTTACTATCTATGGTGACAACCAACGGACTGGAGGTTAGTAAAAGAAAAAACAATTTTATCAATTAATTTTATCTCGTAAAGAAAAAGGAATAATAGCAATGAGCTCTTTTAATATTTGTTATTGTTTTTTTCTTCCTTTTCCTTTAATTTTTTTTTATTTTTTTTTTTTTTTTATAAGATCAAATATCTCCGTGGAATATCTCTCGATGATGCGGAAAAACAATCGGTGGTTGACAAAGGAATCGATCGAGGCCTTGGGAACAATGTTAATCGGGATTTAATTGAAGATGAGAACAAAGAAGATCGTAAAAGCTTCGATTTGGAACAACCTTCAATAGCCGTAATTGGGTAAAGGATCGTTGTCAAACAATCATCTAACCGTCAAAGTGATTCGTAGTTTTTCTTGACAACTAAATTATATAAATTATTAAATTTATAAAAAAAAAAAAAAGAAAAAGAGAAGTTCCTGAATATCTATTGCAAAGGACAATTAAATCATAAGGTCGATAATCTGGAATAATTTTTCGATTTCAGGGAAACCGATTTGATGAAAAAGTATCCAAACATGGCTAAATCTATTCTACAAAGATCAAAGTGTCCGAGTTTGAAAATATTATTGGATCTTTCGTCAGAATGCAACAGATCGGCACGGAAATGTAACACTCGGAAGTATCGTAGGCAAATCGAGAAATGGTCAATCCCACAGCCATTCTACGTTGACGAACCAAGATGGGTCGAAATCGAGCTCGATTATGAAGAGAATCTACCATATTATTTCAATAACGAGAAGGATTCTTTTTTCGTGACGCGTGGAAAAAAAATCTTCAGACCGAAAATCGAAGAACAAGATTTTTCTAAAGCGAATGAAAATAATCGCGAGAAGTTTCTCGAAAAATCGAACGAAGAGTTCATTGAGGATACCAAGATCAAGAGAAACGAATCGAAAAGAAAGGAAGAGAGAAGGAAGGCTATTGAATTGGGTACTCGTCAATTGGAAGAGTTGATACGTAATTTTGAGAGAACAGAAGAACCATTTGTTTTAACACGAGGAAAGAAACTTCATGTTCAGAATCGCGAATATTCAACATTAGACGAAAATTTGAAAAAGGAGACATTAGAAACGAAATTACTTGAGAAAATAAAAAAGCGTTCAGTAATCAACGGACCTACGTATTACATGACTATGATTAATAAAAATACAAGTTCTTTTCTAAATAGGATGAACAACGTGACCTTGTCCAAAGAACAATACCGTTTACGAACGAAAAGAAATTCTTGCGAAAATTTAGCCTGTCATATTGATGATTCCAAAAAGATACGTTTGATGAAGAATCTTGAAAGGGCCATTTCAGATTCCGAACAAAAGGACAAACGTTCGGACATTTATGACATATTCGAGGAACCATTCGTCATTTCTAAAAACAAAAAGAAATCAAAGAGTATAGATCAACGTAAGTCCAGAATTGTACCGATAGATTATGACGAATCGTTCGATTCTCTCGAGACTGCTAAACACATTATTCAACGATTGATCGATTCTAGAATATGCACTAAAGAACAATGCAAGAATATTATGAAATTTATCATGGAAAATGATATGTTGATGACTAACAGAGATCGTAGAAACGTCCTTGACGAATTGCTCAGAAAATACGATCAGTTTTACGTCGTTAAGGGTAAGAGAATTTATTCGAGTAATTCTTTAGAAGAAGATCGACTTAAATCCAACGTGGATTAACGCAATGAACTCTCTTCGAAAGGTTGTTTATCCTATAACATTAAAAACATTGATAAACATTGATAAACATTGATAAAAGGAGATTCTATCTCGGACAGCATCAATTTTATCTTTATTTTTTTTTTTTGGAAGATATTGAAGCAATGAAAGCAAGAACATACGATAATTTTGATGACACTTCTGACAAATGTGTGAACACTACAGTAGTAAAGTATACACGGCTGTCACGAAAAGATTGTAAAAATAAGAATAAATAAGTACTTACTGTTAAGAAAGAAATTAGAATTATCTTTGTTATGCGTACTTATGATATGTTTCGACTGATGACGTAAACGAAAAATAGTTCCCTCCCTTTCTTTCTTTCTCTCTCTCTCTTTTCTTTTTTTTCTGCTTTTTTTTTTCAAGTACATTTAGATTTACGCACATATACGTTTCATCCGTTAATACGCATCGCCATTGAATTTTAACATCTAAAGAGTGTCACGAAGAAGCATTCGCATGTACAAAAACAATTGAGTGGAATTAATCTTATCCTGTCATCCTTGTCCACCGTACCATGATTACTAATTCTATTAACGAACGTTTAAATTCGATGATAAAAATAATCGTTATCTTGAAAAATTGTTTTAATATTTTTTTAAATATTTTTATGTATGTATATATATATATATATATATATATATATATATATATATAATTTGTTTTATTTATGAAAAAAAAATTTTTATAATATTAGTATATGTGTGTGAGTATTATTTTAATACTAATATTTAAATTATTTTTTCTATAACATTTTTTTTATAAAAAATACGATAATTTCGATGATACTTCTGACAAATGTGTGAACACTATAGTAGTAAAGTATACACGGGTGTCACGAAAAGATTGTAAAAATAAGAATAAGTACTTACTGTTAAGAAAGAAATTAGAATTATCTTTGTTATGTGTACTTATGTTATGTTTCGATTGATGACGTAAACGAAAAATAGTTCCCTCCCTTTCTTTCTTTCTCTCTTTCTCTCTCTTTTCTTTTCTTTCTGCTTATGTTTAATTTTAAAAATTAAAATTATTTTTTCTATAAAATTTTTTTTATAAAAAAAATAAATAAAAAGATAAAAATTTTGTCATCAGGAGACGAAGACATCGGCCATATTTTTACAAGAAATTTAAGTCATGAGCTTAACTCGACAAAAATTTATGACCGAGACGAACACGGTGATCTTTCAATGTGGAAGAAGCATATATCTAAGTATCGCATAACCATATGCTACCCTCTCTTTCTTTTTTCACAATTAATTTCCAAGTCCTTTTGAGATATTGTAAAAGATAATCATAAAAAGTCATTTCGTATTATTCGTATATCATTAAGATTTAAAAATTGGAAAATAAGAATCGAAGATGATTTGAATATATAAGTTCTTCTTTTTTCTAAATCTTCTTTAATCTCATTTGCATGTAATTTAATATTGTTATTAAAATTTTGTGCGTGTTTCAAAATCTTAAAAAGTCAAATTAAATCAATAAAAATTATTGGATATTTTGACTTTGACACGTTGTGTTTTCTTCTAAGAAAAGCCAGAAAAAAGAGAGAAAGAGAAAACTATTTCTTTATAAATTTTTCATATGTTATTTTCGTGAAAACATATAACACGTCTTTGAGTTTTGAAATAAAATCGTAAAAACCATCCTGGCCATATAAATCTTGCAATAAGTACGAGCCTGTAGTAATATCCTATGAACCGGTGAACGATTGAACGAACCAATACAGAGGATACGTCATCGCGAAGAAAATCGTGGAAAAGAATCATTAAGTAACACGCGATGGGGAGAACAAATTTTTATACACCTACACAAAAAAAAGCTTCTGTTTTGCTTCTTTCCCGTTCTTTTTCCTGCGTCGGATCAGTGACGTTAATGCTAGGAACAGAAAGAAAAAAAAAGGAAAAATAGAAAACAAGAAGAAAAAAATCAAAGACGAAGATAATAAGAAAACGAGAAAACTCATCCAAACTATTTACAGGTGTAAATGATCCGCTTTAAGATTATGAATAAAAATAAAAATAAAAATAAAAATAAAAATGAAGATAAAAATAAAAATCAAAATGAAAATAAAAATACATATAAATATAAAAATTAAAATTAAAATAAATGGATAAGACAAGGATAAAATGAGGATCAAGTGAATGGATAGAAAAGGACGAAATAAGAATAAAGGATAGGAAGGTGGGAGGTTAAAAGCGTGATCGAGCGTGTGAGACAAAGAGAGGACGATTTTGCGCAATTGGAAGGTTGCTCGTAGCATATAAGACGAGCGACGCGCATCCTGAGTTGCCACTAGACAACTTATACCACACCAGTCTATAGCTTTCGTAAATAAAAGTAGTAAAAAGGATTTCTTTCATTAATCGTCGTATTTTAACATACTTTACGCACCGACATTTTTTTTATATATATATAAATACTTAACATACATACATACATATTTGTGTACGACGTAATAATAGAAAAAAAAAGAAAGTGCATCTATTTCGTGTGAAATTTTTGTAAAAAATTGGACAAAGTTAAAGTTAGGTAAGTTATCGTTCGATATTAATCTTCTTTTTTTATTTTGAATAATTTATTACGATGCATGTGATCGATCCTTTTATAAATAAAATTATTAAAAATGTTTAATACGAAGAAAATATTTAACTTCAATGTGAATGAAATTTTTCTATTGTATTTCTATATAAGAAAACTTTTTTAATAGATCCTTTATTTTCTTTTATTCGATATTAAAATTAATATAATAATGATATATTAACGCGTTATTCTTACAATCATCGTTAAGGTATTCATACATTGAAAAGCAAATATGAACGATTTATAAAAACAAATGTGAAACTCCGTGACAGCTTTTGAAAGCATGTACTAACGAAATTTTCGCGCGACCTTCTCGACACAAAACTGTACTATGCGCTTTCTATCCCTCTACCTTCCTCTCATCGTCTCTCGATCGATTAATGCACATCATAAAAATGTTCTACAGCGCGATAAAAAAAGAAAACGAAATTAGCAAACAACTGTCCTGTATCTTCCTATGGAATGTATGACAAAGAAAAAAAAAACAAAAAAGATAATAAGATAGGAAAGAAGAAAAACATTGGGAACAATGAAAGAATTATCGATTATATTTTTTCATTAAAATACAGTTAAATTATAAATTTGAATAAAATTTTAAAAAAATTTTTAAATCGAACAGAATTTAATCATTCTGAAACATTATTTTGTAAACACTAATCGACCATATCCATTATATATGTACATACGTATATATCTTATTTATATCACGTAAAATCTTTACTAGGGGTGATCGAATATGATTGATAAAACATGCATAACGGGTATCCACACGCGCTTTTTCGTTTTTATTTCGTCTATATAAAAGTCTACATTTGTGAATATATTTTATTTGAGCTTAATTGATAAAAAATTCAAAATCGGTCGGGACGAACATTATCTTAGGGATATTAAAATAAAATTAGAAATCAAAATGATTAGACAAAATGATCCTTATTCGCTAGATATAAACAGAAAAGGAGAGAAAGAAAGAAAGAGAAATAGAATGTTTTCATTTTACACGAAAATACTGCAAATAATAAAAGAAATTCCTAATATGGTGTAACAAATAAACAAAAAATAAAAAAAGATTAAAAATGCTTGTTGAATGAAAAAAGAAAGAAATAATAAATATAATTTTTAATATTATATGAATGGCGTGTGTATTCGCCAGCTTAAATCTTGTAAGCGCTTTTACTTTTCCCTTTATATTTTCTTCTTTTCTTAATTTCGCTCAAAAGAACAATCTGCTAATTGTATGCGAAATATGAGAGCCATAGGGATGGTATTTGTAAGGGCAGAGATATAAAATAATATAGAGATATAGAATAATAGATTACTTTTTCAAATTTCACTTCACGCAATAAACAAGTCGGAATTAAGAATTCAAAAAGAAATTGCTCTTCGTTCTCGATAGCTTAATAAATTATTGAATTGTTAAAGAATTTTTTATACGAGAAATCACTTTAGTGCTTTCATCGAAGTCTCTCGGAATAACGGTGACGCGTCGGCGCACGTTTAACTCGTTCCCTACTAATATCAATCTATTTTAATATTTATTAATTTTTTTTTATTCATATTATATCTTATAAAAATATGTAACAAAATATGTAACAAAAAAATAAAAAGAAACACTAATTGCTACTCGAGTCAAGTAAATTATTGGAAAATATTATTGCATAAGAAAAATAATTAATTTTCGAAATACATTTGATTTTCTAACAACAGGTAAATTAATTTTTATGAATAATATGTGATGCGTATATTGGATAGAGTTAATTCTATTTTTTGTTTGTTTGTTCAAAAAAATAATACAAATTGATGACGCAAAACTAAAATCAAAATCAAAATCATTACATTTAAATTTTAATTTATTGAAATATAATAAAACAATAACATTTTCTTGAATCTTACAATTAGACATGTGGCTATTACTTTCAATTATAACCGCTCGTGCGATTATCGGAAGTTCAGATGCCGAAACCATGGACTCAGTGCAACAAAAATTCGGAGATACTAATAAGGATGTTAATTCGGTAGGATTACTTGGAATGAATCTTGATGAGAGAAAAGGTAATTGAAATATACTTATTCTAGAATAAGTGGGAAATAAAAAAAAATTTAAAGGTGGTATAGGTATATCAAAATAATTAAAAAAAAGTACATATAAATATATGATCTATTTAACATTTTTTTCGAGTTATAAAGAATTATATATCATAATAATTATTTTATTAATTGGACGTAGTGTCTTTTCGTGAAATAAATAAACGAAGTTTTCAACAAATCAGAGTAACATCGAAACATATGGGGATGGTAAGACAATCATTAATGAAATGTTTGCATGCTTGTCTTCAAACGCAAAAAAATCATTTCAAATTTCTTATAAAAAGTTAAAGTTTTAAAAATCTTTTTTATATTTATATAAAATTATATTATAATTATTTATATAATATTTACTATTATTCCAAAACAAAATCAAATAAGACATATGTTTATATGAACTTTTTTTATTGTTTATATATATTGAAGTGAGCTCTAAAATATTTCTTACTTATTCTAGAACACTTTGTATATAAATTAATTAATTCTATTCATTTGCCAATCGTTTAATAAAAATATTGCAATTTTATAGAATATGATCTTCAAAAAAGTATAAATAAACGGTTCGTCGAGGGATCAAATATGTTGTATATTTTGAAAAATAGCAAGATTTTGCCTGCAGTCTCATGGTTATACTTACCAACAAATAAACGAGTAAGACATATTTATATTTAATATATTTCATATGATATTTTAATAAACAGATAATTTTCTATGATATTATCGTATTTATAATTTCAACCAGAGCTTACGATCGAGCGAGTTGGATTTTTCTGAAGAAACGAAAAATCCCTTCTTCAGTCGGTGGGATGGCAAACGAATTAGTTCTTTCAGATCACAGAATCAACGATCAACTCGCATGCCGTTTAACAGCTGGGGTGGTAAACGAGCTCACGGATATTTGGATGACAAAGCAAATTTCTTAATTATGAAGGGCAGCAAATCGTTTTCTGACAAGAACACTCATAAGAACTTTGTCGAATATGCCAAAAGATTGCCTAACTTTGGGAGAAGAACACCATTTTATAGTTGGGGAGGCAAGCGAAATGATAATACAGGAATTGACATAAACAAGAACATCAATAATATTCCTGACGAAGAGATAGAATTTTATTTACCAAAAGGTATACCTTCTATAATATATGTTGCTTTATTATAATTTCAATATCAAATATTAGGTGGACCGGAAAGTAATGTCGCTTTCTTAAATTACATTCAAACGAATAAATTTTTAACAAGTTTTTATTTTTAATCACAATCAAATATCGGCATGCGCAGAAACGACATTACTTTCCGGTCCACCTAATACATCATCTAATAGCTTACTCATCCAAATGTTACAGACGATACAATGGAAGATACAATCTTGAATGAAAATGAAAAACGTGCTGCCCAAATGAAAACTAGTAGATCACGAATAGGTTTTAATAGTTGGGGAGGAAAAAGAAATGATATTAAAGAATTTCTGTTACCTTTAAATAATGAATCATCAAATTTCGAAAATATCATTGATAAAAACATTAATTCCACCGATCAATTATCAGAAAAAAAACCTATTAATAAAAAGTCTGGAAGACAAGGTTTTAACCCTTGGGGTGGTAAAAGAAGTATAAATGAAGAATTTGTGATCATTCCTAATAATTATGATCTTCATGACAATGATCCAGCAAAAGAAAAACAGGACTTCTTTCCATGGAGTGGATAAGTTGATTTAAGATACCAATAAAATCAGTTATTTGCTTCTACGAAGAAATTGTAAAGTCGATAAACTAATTGATATTATTTCTATTCAAAAATTATCTTTGCAGTTTCATAAAAAGTATTTATTTTATGTTATACTATATTATTTATTATTAAGCATCAATTGAGTAATCAATCACTCTTTCTATTGTCTTTTCTGATATCCAATATCCAATATCCATAAATCTATCCTCTAACTTCCTTCAAATTATTGTTATTTTATTCATGCAATTATATTATTATATTGAATAAAGAATATATGCAACTTCTTTATGTAGCCTGTATATAAATGTTAAAACGTTTAAAAGGAATAGATGTTTACAAATGTTTCCAACTGTGTTTCTATCTTAGATGATGAACGAATATCATCAATATCTCCTTTAAATAAAGATACTATCACTTTTTTAACTTCACATTTTTTTACTTTTTAAATAATTTCATGATATTTACACATCATATGTAACCTATAATTATAAACTGTCACAAACCTTTAATAAGGAACTTGAAATCTTAAATACATTATTAATATTAGACAAATTAATGATACATCTATCAATGAAAGATATTAGAAATAAATGGTAATACAAATCATAAAATAGATGATTTATACAAAAAAAGAATGAGAGTAACAATACACTACAGTAACTTTTGTCTTTCATTAGAATTGCAACTTTGTACAATAATACATATAATTACTATTTCTATTTAATAGATTATGTTACGAATATTGAAGGAAAATAAAAACAAAGAAAACACTTACAAATGTTGTAAGGTTAATAAAAAACAGATGAAAATACACTGCACGAATCACAATAAGTCACAATAACAACACTCTTATTTTTTTTTCTGAAGGTTGCAACACTGTATTGTATCCCTCTATAAATATCTGACGTGTGGCGGGAAATTTTCAATCAATAACGGGACAAGATTGAACTTGAATACTTTTGAATGCTATAAAATATAGTGAATCAAAAGCATTTTCTTCCAAAGATACAAGGGCTTCTAGATAAATTCTGGCAAAAATTTTAAACTGATGAAATTGGAAACAATCGTGAGATAGACAAAACAGCAGTCGCAACAAAATAAGTAGAAAACAACTGATAAATTTGCAAGTATATTTGATAAGTTTTAAGACTTCCAATAATAGACAGTATATATTATTAATGAAATATCAACGCAATAAAAATGGGGAATGGATATAATGAATTATATTTATTGATATGTTCTTCATTCAATTGTACGTAGACATATATTTATATAGTACATCGATATGTGTACATACATAATAATCATTTTACTAATCGTCATAATTATTCTCTGCGTTATATACACTTTTATAATTTTTTTATCGTAGCAACCAGTCAATCATTTCGCCCAAAATACAATCTATTAGAACATATTTTTGCATGAATTATTTTGAATTCTTTATAGCTAACAATTAAATTTTCATATAAGATATTATATAATTAAAAAGTAACCTTGATCTATTAGATAAATTTCTAAAGAAATATTAACAGGTAAACAAAGAATCAATTTTGAATGACATAGGATATTTTGAAATTACGAATTATGTTTTAGTATAGATCAGAAAAACTAAGTTCATTAACATTTAATAATATACAGAAATATGACAGTATATTTTACTAAATTTGTTTAGGTACTATGACTCCAGTTATTTTACAACTTCTGTTGGATAACAGGATGTCATTAATACATGTAATAATTATTTGAAACATTAAATTAAAAAATATGAAACATTAAATAAAAGTATAATTAATAAGTGACATTACAAAAAATTATAAAACATGTTTCAAAGTATATTTAAATCAAATTTAGAAAAAATTACTTGATATAAAAATATTTCTTTGTAATTAGAAAATTTCAATTAAAGAATCTACTACATTTTAATCTTGAAAGAATGAAAAAAAATATGTTAAAATCTTCTGCAGTATTTTATTTGTTTACCATACTTTGGTCACCAAGCATATGATAATGGTGCATTTTATTGTTAGGAGATACTTTCTTTAATCTACATACTTTGTAGTCATAGAATATTGTAAGACATATTTCAACTATCTTACTGATAGATTCATTAGCCTAATAAAGACTTTTTTCTTTCATATTTGTGCCTTAATCATAAAGTATGTAGGACTATATTAGATTATGTTTAGGACTAGGATTAAGAATTAAAATACAAAGCTTGTTCCTCTTCCAGCCTAGGAAATCTGCTGATCGAGCTTACTAGAAGCATTCACCAAAAACATCTCACTTTATAGAAGGAATAGCAATTGTTTTTAGAAAAGTACAGAGGAAAGAAATTCGTGCATTTCAGGTACATCAGCTGCATAAGAAATATAAAGTAGTATCACACTTATTCTGTTCTATCCCATCTCATTAGTTTGATATTTTTGGTAATAGTTTCCTTCAACTTCGACTCGCATTTGCTATTCTAAGAAATTATATAGGGAGGTATATAGTTCAGATTTTTTGGAAGTATATGAATACTAGTATAAGATAAATTCTTGCTAATAGTGGTACGTTTAGGACTAAATTAGATATACAAATATTGTGCGAGCTTTAGCATTGCAGATGACCAAAGTATGGTTTTAAAAGGAAAAATATCACTTTTACGAGGTACACAAATATAGATGTAGATATATCTACTTTATAACATTCAGAGAAAAATATATTCCTATCTAGTGCTATATAGGGTGTCTCATTTTAAATGATATGCCTAAATATCTCCATTTCTATTAATGTAATAAACAAATTTTTCATATAAAAGTTACTAGTGCTTTGAGGAAGAAATTTATTGCAGCTATTTTATAGAGGGCACTATTGTCAACATAAAGAAGTCATAATTTTTTTTAATGAAAATCGATATTTTAGCCAAACAAAAATCATAGATTATCAGTACAAATCCAATGAGCATTTACAATGTAGGTACTTAACTTATCATCAATATTTTATCGAGTTATGAAGTCTAGGAAACTTTAATTGCAATAATGTTATTTATGACTTCTGAAAGATACTAATGATCATAACTTCAAAAACGTATGAAAAAAATAAATAAAATAAAAAAAAAAGCAAATTAAAAATTAATTAGTGGTTATCAAAGAAATGTTTACAGGAAAATTGATTGCATTATTGCGATTGCACGCAATAATTACTTTAAAATGCAACGCAGTACGTTAAAATTCAAAGTGCAATATCGATAAAAAGGTACAATGTAGATGTTCGTTGGATTCGTATTGATATTTTCTACAACTTTTGTTAATCCTAAAATATCAATTTCTATTTAAAACGATCGTAATGATTTTCATATTTTGACAATTGCTCCTTCTAGGATGAAATTGTAATACATATTACATTTTCCCTTCGAAACTTAAAAACTTTTATTTGAACATTTGTTTGTAACAATGAATTTAAAATGAAACATCCCATATATATGTATATGTTCGTGTATGTGTGTGTATCTATATGTATGTGTGTGTATTTATGTGTATCTATGTGTATGCGTGTATTAAATATCTTTTTTTACCATTTACCCTTATATTCACATCATTGTTATGCATTTTTTTAATGATTTGGGATATTTAATTGCTTCGCTATAGCCTCTTACTATACATTTAGAAACGAAAAATAAGGTAACTCTTTCTCTTTCTTTCTTTCTCTCTCTCTCTCTCTCTCTCTCTCTCTCTCTCTATATATATATATATATATATATATATATATATATAACTGTCATACATTCTTTCTTTTTCTCTCTCTTTCTCTCTTTAATTTTTTCATACACTCTCTCTCACTCTCACTCTTAAATAATCGGTAATCGCACAAGTTAACGATAATACTGATATAGGCTTTTTTCAAAATGCTTTCGTATGAACAGTCACAATTTTTTTCGTTCTTTGATTTTAGCGTCTGCATTCCTCTTGAGAAACGCAAGTCAAATGAGGTGGTTCTTTTTTATTTTAGTTTTCTTTTTTCCTTTTTTCTTTTTCTTTTTCTTTTTCTTCCTTTCTTTTTGTTCATTTTGACGTACGAATTATCTATCATATATTATATTGACTAGATAGTAAAGCACTACGACTAGAAAAAGAAAAAAAAAGAAATTTGGGCTCTACAATAATTATTTTTAACTAAAATCAACGAATTAAACTTCGCGTTCGGCTCACCATGACCGTAATATGTCGTTTTTGTTGGATAGATCGAATAATGTAGCGACTGTAAGGTTTACATTTGGTACCATTACTGGACATCTGTAACAAAAAAAAAAATATATATTGATTCGTGTTAACGTATACATCGTCTGTATTTTCTCTCTTATATCGTTAATAAATTATAACGAAGCATTCGCAATGTTTAACGAAAATGCATTTCTATAGATTTTATTGATTTATTTATTTATTAATACAAAATTTGTATTAATACCATATTAATAACGTCTATATATATATATATTTTTTTTTATTTATTTTTTCTTTTTTCTTCTTATTTTTTATTTTTTATTTTTTATTTTTAGATGAAATTGGAAACCACGATTATATTCGTAGAACGAGACACAAAGATAACTTTGAAATTCGAGTTAAGAAATTCGACATTAAGTTGGAATTCGAAGTATCTTTTGAAAAGTCATACATAGTTTCTTAACCTTTGAGACCGATTAAGACCTCTCACATAAATTATCGAATTTCGAAAGTTTCCTTCATTGGTGGTTCATTATTTATTATCAGGACACGATACCTTCATATAAACGAAACAATGAAGTTAGAGAGACTTTAAACAATACTAGCTCCAAGTATGTACTGACTTGATCACTCACACACAAAATATATACGATGATGAAAATAGACACATATACGTATTCGCACATATATATACACATACATACGTACACGAAAGAGAAACTTTTAAAGTAGTCCTTGCATTATTATTGTTTCGTCGTCGGTGTTCAGATAATACTCAGTTTTGTTGAAAATGTCACGTGATTCATATACTCCCCCGAGTTTTCATTATAAAGTGAAAAAAAAAATATTTCTGTACTCGCAAATAAAACGCACAGATACATCTATACATCATAAATTTTTTAATATTTTCACAATTAAACATCTCAAATCTTACTCTCTTAGAGGATCTACTCTTAAAATGATTTATAACGAATTAAATTATTTTACAAATCGATCTAACGAATGAATTTAAATTGAAATTTTTAGAATTTGTTTTGTTTTCTTTTGGATTTTTTTTTTTTAAGACAGAAAATTGAAAATACGAACAGATCTCATGCATTCTTTCTCGATTTATGGAAAGTGGATGTGGGCACTTTTAATTTCTACAACGAATAATAAATAATGAGTGAGGTAACTGATATTTTGAAATATAATCTTATTTCGAAGAGAATAATGATATATTAAAAAACAGAAGAATAAAAGTATTATCCACTTTTAACTCAATATTATTTTATATATCCTTTCAAATATCATATTTGAATAATATATTATTCAATAAAATCGGATAATGTGCTAATGATCATATAAAATATATTACAGAATTTGTAATATTCTCAAAATAAATTTTCAGTTTTAACGAATAATCGATACGATATATATATATATATATATATATATATATATATATATATATATATCATAGTATTCGTTATGAATGTTACATATGAATGTTATATAAAACGAAACGATACGAAAACAAATAAGAAATAAAAATGAAAATACGAAGTTATAAATATAGTAATTTTAAGCCAGTTATTTGATATCGATGAGAATAAAAGGTTATTTGAAAGACGTTAATGAAAAAGTTATAAATATTTCGAATGGTAGTTAAATAAAGTTTTGTTTAATAACTCCAAAGTTCGATAGAAATATAATAGAACAGAGCTTGAAAACCTAAAGAAAATACATGCCAGTAGATGAAAAATATTAATCCCTAAAACACTAGAGAATGAAATTTAATAGAAGTCAATAAAAAGACTGACAATGGCCCTTTTGTTGATGATTGTTACTATTATTATTATAATTATCATTTTTTTTGTTTTTTCTTTTTATGAAAGCGACAGATTTGAGTAAGAGAAGAAACAAAGTGCATGATTCGTATGAAACATTTATTTTTATAATAATTATTGAATTATTTATTTGTATATCTATATACACACATATATATATATATATATATATATATATATGTATATATATATTGTTTTTCCTTTAATTCAAACTCTAAAATTACCTAATGCCACGGTCGGGCCCGTCTTCACGTCGATCCTTTTGATGTTATCAAAAACATTTTTGAGGCTGCCGTTATCCACGTATGGAGCTGTCGCCCATTTTTTGCCTCTCACGCCTACGAATTTTCCCCGAATCTCCCATCGTGGATTTTTCTTACCGCGAATTCCGAAATATCGGAAGGGCGATCGCTTTTCAAATTGGTATGACGATATGCCGTCTCTTCTATCGTTTGTATCGCCTGCTCGAAGAAATATTTCAAGAATAGGCCATGATCATCAAGGTTAATTATTTATCATTGTTAATTATTTATTTATTTTATTAGTTTTTTTTCCTATGTTTTCTTTTCTTTTTAGTTCCGTCGTAGAAAAAATTCTAATCTAAGTGCTCTCTCTTTCTCCTCGTCTATTTTTATTTTCGTATGTACCATCGATCAAGAGAATTACTCTATCTTATTTTTTTTGTACCGACGAAGTAATAAGAAAAAGAAAAAAAAGAGAAAAAGAAAATAACGGATGGTTATGTACGTTTCGAAAAAACGAAAAGCTTATCAAAATTCCACTTTCTAATTTATTTATTTATTAAATATATTCACAATAAAGATTTACCTTGGAATTCCGTCTGCGCTGTTTTCCCATTGATTCCATAAAGTTGTATGACGTTCCGTTTGCCTCTCATACCTTGGAAACCCATGGGTGCACGTTTGTCACTATCCTTTTTACCCCTCATACCTTGGAAACCCATCGGCGCTCTTTTTTCATAATCGATCGGATCCAGGAAATAATCCACATAATTATCATTGACGCCCTCCCTTTCTTGAATTTCCTAAAAGTTATCGAAATTAAATTTATTAGTATATACCCGAACCACGATCTCCTATTTTCGAAAAAAAACAAACAAACACAAAAAATAAATGTGAACGTTTCTTTTGATAATTTGTAGGGTCGATATAATAATAACGTGGAGATTAATCAGCTTACCTGTAAACCCATGATAGCACGTTTTTCTAATTCTTCTATCATTTCATCGTAGAGTGCCTTCTTTCCTCTCATTCCCTGAAATCCCATGGGAGCTCTTTTCTCCCACTCCATTGGGAATGCTTCCTTCTTTCCATGTATACCTTGAAATCCCATCTCCAATGACCTCTTCTCATATTCTTCTGGATAGTCGAACAAGTGGGTTTGCTTACTCCTCATACCTTGGAATCCTTTTGACGTTCTCTTTTCGATCTCCTCTAGTACCTATTCGAGCATCGATCGCATTTTAGAATCATTATTGATGACTCATGTTGTATATCATGAGAAACGTTATTCATTACGTACATACATAGATTTACATACATAGATAGATTGATAAGTCATCATTCTATTATATTAATCTTATATTACGAAGTGAATTAATTAACATTTTAAATGTCAAACATACTTCAATCGTGAGGCTGACAAATCAATAAGTAAAGCACACGAACTTCATGCGATAATATAATTCAAAAATTATGTAATTTTTAATAATTTTGTTTTAAATATGTATGTATGTATGTATATTCAGTACATTATTAATATAATTAGCGGAAAATTTAAACGATCAACGCTTAATAATTATAAAAAAAAGAAAAGAAATAAAAGTTTCATTGTTTTCAATCGCATATTATATATATATTATTATATATATATATATTTTATATATACAGAATGTTCCACATAACTGGAACAGATTATATCTTTTGAACGATCGAAAATAAATAAAAATGTTATGAATCAAAGTTAAATATTATCGAATGATGCATAATATGCAAAAAAATCTTTTAGGCATTAACAAAATACATTTGCATTTTTTTTTAATGTGAATATTTTTTAATACTATATTTTTGACTGCATCAATTGTTAATCAATTTCGATTGCAGTCAAAGATATAGATTTTCATTAAAAAAAGTGCAAATGCATTTTTCTGATGCATCGATGAATAGAAATACGTAAAATTATTTGCGTATTATGCACCATCTGACACCATTTAACTTTATAACATTTTTTCTATTATATATATAATAATGAAATGATTCCCGTCTGATTAAAAACTGTCACACATCTACGTTTCCTATGGTAGCACTCAAAGTATTAAGCAATAAGCTCTACCTTACTAGGTAACGACTAAATGCCTATACGTACTTCTTCAAGAGATTTCTTTCCTCTCATTCCTTGAAATCCCATTGGTGCACGTTTATAATACTCATCATCAGACATAGCTTTTTTTCCTCTCATACCTTGAAATCCCATTGGTGCTCGCTTGTCATAATTATCTTGGAAATAAGCATCCTCGAAGTCAGGAATTAGAAAATTGTTTTTTCCTCTCATGTCTTGTAATCCCATAAGTGTTCGTTTATCAGATATTTCTACCTCATGTGGAAAATTGTCCTCATTGTTAATTAAGTCCTTTTTCCCACGCATACTCTAAATATGTTTCGAATAGGATTAGAAAAAAGAATTTAATTGACAAACATACAATTAACTTTATTTCTTTTTTTTTTCTTTTTTATTCTTTTTTTCTTTTTCTTTTCGAATAACAAAATTTTACCTGGAAACTCATGGGTGTTCTTTTAGATAAACCACCGTGTTGAATAGATGTGAGATCATCTTTTTTACCACGTATACCTTGAAAATTCATCGGAGCACGTTTGATAGAGAACGGATTGTTCGAAGACAAATCCTCGGCAAACGAAAGAACGATCGACGTTGCGAGTAAGATGAACGAGCTGATGAACATTCTGTAACAAACAATAATCATTGTTTATTTTGCATTGTTAATACTTATTTTTTGTTATAATTCAAGAAAAATTTTATTATATCGTTTTATACGTGTTATCAAAAAAAAAAAGAAAAAAATAAGAGAAAGTAAAGAATCTGAAGATTCGAGTTACGTGTTCTATGAATAAACAAGTGTCAATAAAATCTCAATTATTTGCAAAAGAGTGACACATTTGGTATCAAAAACTAGCTCAGCCGAGGAATGAACGAAGAAAATGATTTTCGCCGGTAGTGAACAAAGTTGAAAACGTCATTAAAATTCTATAAAAATCGACGAATAGTTGACACGAAATCTCAATGACCATGATGAAATTTTTTATGTATATATTATACATATACCTGTGTCGAGAAAACTCAATCGTTTTCTGTTATTTTCATGGGGTCGAAGTTAATTCGACCGGTGGCGAATGTTGTTGTAAAAAAAATAAAAAAGAAAAGAAATCTGACATCCATGATGAATGTATAACTTTACTTTTCTTTTTTATATTTCTGCTCGAATCTTTATAAGAACTCGTTCGTATCCATGCAATTAAAGCGTTAACTCTTAGCGTATTTTTTTTTCTCTTTTCTTTTTTCATTCTCTTTTTCCTTTATTCTTTTTTCTTTTTGCAGCAATGAACGAGAGCCGACGTTCCGCTGATTGGATTCATTCGGTGAATTATTTTTAACCAACATCGTCGAGAGGATAATGATACTTCGCGATAGATTTAATCGCGTTCCTTCGATTTTCACGTTCCTTCCAAAGAAGAAAGAATAAATATGTTCTCGTTGATCTTTCCTAAGCATGAATAAGTGTGGAAATATTCGAGGAACGTGATTTAACAAATTACTATTATTATAGTTATAAATTATAGAATCCGTGAAGCTCTCATTTGACGAAAATGGATGAGAGTCACGTTGACCTCGTTAACGTGTTAATTAATTTATCGATGGGTCAAACATACCACATTTCGATTGTCCCTCCTTAGTGTACTACTACATGGTCAAGTTAATGATCTTCTTATTATATAAATTTATATAATATATTATTTCTCTTTTGTCTCAGACTTTATTTTAAAGATATGATTTGACGATGTCAACGCTGTAATGACTATGAGAAAACCGATGAAAGTTTATCATGTCGTATAACATGCAAATATTTACGAAGTATAAACGTAGGAAGAAAAAAAAAGAAAAGAAAAAAACATTATTCATGCATAGAACTCTCTCTCTCTCTCTCTCTCTCTCTCTCTCTCTCTCTCTCTCTCTCTCTCTCTCTCTCTCTCTCTCTCTCTCTCTCTCTCTGTCTTTCTCTCTCTCTCTCTCTCTCTCTGTCTTTCTCTCTCTCTCTGCCTCTCTCTCTCTCTCTGCCTCTCTCTCTCTCTTCGACATGAATTTTGTATCACGACTGACTTTTCACCGTTACTGTTTCCGTTTGAAACGGTACGATGCAATGGGATAATCTCTGTACGTGCACAAAGCATAAAATGAAGTTCCTGAAAAGAGAAGTTACGCAAGATATAAGAATGTTTTATGTCACCTAAGATAAATTCATAATTTTTTTTTGTTCTTTCTTTTTTCTTTTTCTTTTTCTTCGTTTCCTTCTTTTACACGAGATGAAACATTTCCAAGAAATCGTCATATTAGTAGTGGTATAAATAAAAGGAAAAAACAAAAAACAACAAGTCGAGTTGACATTTCGTCATAATCTAATACTAAACGAACCAGAGAATTTGTGAAATACATAATTATTCCAAACGTTGGAAATGACGAATTGACATTTAAGTTACTTACATATTTCATCAATCTCTATTTTCTTTCTTTTTCTCTCTTTCTCTCTCTCTCTCTCTCTCTTTCTCTTTCTTCCTCTCCTTCTCTCTCTCTCTCTCTCTCTTTCTTCCTCTCCTTCTCTCTCTCTCTCTCTCTCTTTCTTCCTTTCCTTCTCTCTCTCTCTCTCTCTCTCTCTCTCTTTCTTCCTCTCCTTCTCTCTCTCTCTCTCTCTTTCTTCCTCTCCTTCTCTCTCTCTCTTTTTCTTCCTCTCTTTCTCTCTCTCTCTCTTCTCTCTCTCTGTCTCTCTCTCTCTCTCATGACTATTTAAAAAAAATTATTTGAAAAAATTTTTATCGGGCATAATATAATTCTAAAAGTAAAGAACACGAATATTATCATATTCACAAACGTTCATACATATATTATATCGCAAAAAGAGAACTTTTCTCATTTTCTCTTTATCTCGAATTATACCTACAGTTAATTAATTTGACTAAATGAGATAGTAAAATTATACGAAAGAAAAAATGATTTAACTTCCGTTTCCTATTTCTTTTTTTTTACTTTTTTACAAAACACACTTTGTTGTTCGCTAATTATTATATAACATTCAACAGGCAGAAAACATAAGTTTTCACACGAATTACGCATGTCGATTATTTCATTTGAAATTCTTTACTGTTATGATACCCCGAATGTCCGATGAAATATTTTTGATCAATATTTAGGATTTTAATTTTTCGCAAATATTTTATATCTAAAAGAAGTCATAGTTTTTTATATTTTCCCTGAATTTTTATTTTTGTTTCTATACGTATATATATACACATACATACAAAAGTTCTTATATACATTACTATATTTCTATCTTTAAATTCGAATAAGAATATATTTATTTTTATAAAGAAAACAATGAAGTTAATTACACATATTTCTTTATCAACTCTATCAGTTTCATTTTCAATCATCGTACATTTCTATCCGAAAGAAACACTTCAAAAATCGTCAATCTGATACCTTCTAAATGAAATCATAAAATAATTTCTCCTTATTATTATATAAGTTCTCGTTAAACACGAGAACACGCATACGTAACATCGTAATCATGGAATCATCGAATCTTTATTCGAAACATGTTTTAAGAGAAAATTTAAAGCAGCTGAAGAGAAACAGAGAAAGAGAGAGAGAGAGAGAGAGAGAGAACCATTACACACCGTTAGACGAATATTCATCGGTATTTTGCTTTTGTGTTTAGAATTATTTTTAGGATTGACGAAATTTCTCGTGTAAAATTTAATCATAGACGAAGTTTACATAAGGGTTGTAGTAGCATGAGCACTCGAGGACTCTCGAGTAGCTTGCTACGTTGCTCATGTAGAATAAACGGAGCGAAAATGAGAGGAAGAGAGATAGAAGAGAAAAAGGATGACTTCGATACTCTATCGAGAAAGAAAGATGGAGGAGGGATGAAAGAGGGTGAAATGGGGAGTCGATTGATACCATCGCTGATATTACAACACCGTAAGAGAAGCGCTCGTTGTGAGAGCTTGTGTTTCTCACTACGGGCCGGTCGCTCGTATAATCGTTCTGAAAGCGAGTTTGTCCAACAGACTCTTCGATTTTAAAGTCGACGATCCAGGATTTTCTAACACGATAGACGTCATTGTGGTTTTTTCTCTTTTTTTTTCTTTTCTAAAGTATCCCTCGTTCTATTAACTAAGCTATAGTTGAAGCATTTATTCACTTTCGCCGACATCATATTTTATTATATTGCTTATTATTTTATAAATTAATTAATATTTCGTTCGTATCACTCGTTTCTCATATTTTGTATTATTAAAAATAAATGAATTAGAATAATTATTATAACATAACATTTTTTTATACTCTTTATTTTTCTTTTTTATATATATTGTGTTTCACATAATCTATTCTAACGAAAAAATAAAATATAAAAGATTATTAATATGTCATTCTAAAGAATGTCAAGCCTCGTTCGATATAGGAGTACAATACTATGCGAAGGAATAGACTATATAAAAAAATAATTTTAATAATAATTTTTATTAATAAACCACGTATCAAATATGTCTCAATGTATCAAATAATTAATAATAATTGTTTTTTTGTTTAGCTCAACGACCAAGTGGGAGAATACTATATATTGTAGACATAGAGTTGATGCAATCATTCAATTGGAAAGATCGAAAAGAGAATATTTAGGTGCTCGAATGAATCTCTAGGTTGCAATATTTTTTCTTTTTCAACGTACCTCTCGAAAGAATATATTCTTTTGTAAGGTACAAATAGCAAAGGGATATATGTTCAGCAATATTTCAGTGATTCGACGAAGATCAAAGAAAAATAAAAAGAGAAGAAATAATTCATCCGTGAGCGTATGTAGATCTTTAGTTCGCATTGTTCGCAAGTTTGCGTTGGTATTTACATGGCTTGTATATGTAACGAGAGCGATGCGTGCAAAGAGATAGTATGAAGGTCTTGCATAATACGTGTTTCCCTGATTCACCCACGCCTATCATCAGAGAAGAACATGGACTATGTTCGCATTAACTCGTCTCGAGAAAATGGTGTCGAGTTCGATTTTTCATCTTTTTTCCTTTTCCTTTCTTTTTTTTTTCTTTTTTTCAATAAATCATTGTCTACCGTTTTCTGGAAAAATAGTTGCCCTTCGATCCAATGTTCTATAAAAACAAAAGAAGAAGAAAGAAACGATGTCAATCGATCGTAGTTCTAAAATATGTCTACGTATTATCTATTTACCTTCCTCTAACAAGTTTTACTAGAAATAATGAAAGTTACGTCGTATCGTTCAAGTATATTTGTTTTATAATTATTTTATTTTAATCCTACCACATTGCCGATATTTTAACTTTAATTTCAAATTAACTGGCTAAGTAAGACCTAATGCAGAGGGTGTTAACGCGAGAAAAGAATTTCATTGCTTCCAGGCTCGATAAAGAGTCCCGTGTCTGCTTGTAAATGTAAGATATGACCGTCCAAAATATGCAAATTTTACCGTTTTAATCTTCTTCGTTACTTAGACTTTAATAATTAAAAGTAAAAAATTGTTTGGATCTTTGATTATTTCTTAAATTCATTTTTATCTAAACATTACGTATATTGGTTTACTTTTAATAATTAATTTAAATAACGTTTAATTAACAATTTGATAATTTCATTTATTTTATCT